TTAATAGGGCTGCCCATCATGTGGCACAAAAGGCCCTCTCATCGGGAGTTCGACTATTGGTCGACTCCCGCGTTTTTTTGTCTTCCGATTTGTGACTTTTGAATAATACTCTGACTTGGGGAAAAAAAAAGTAGGGTAGACAATCCCTTGTTAACAATCTCTACTTTTTGTAGAGATTGACAATCATTCATTTTGAGTGATTGTGGGTGGGCCAGGAAAAAGGTAATACATGCATTCTAACTCAAATTGAACAAAAAAAACAACTTAATCTTATCATTACATGTATTGGCTAAATACCTCACTTGAAATCTCAACTTCCAAATGACCTCTTAATTTTCTTGAATACCTCGATTAGGTTAATTTGGTCGCGTGGAAATGAGGTAGAGGATAGGGTGCATAATCAGATTTGGCCTCTTATGTTTGAGTGGGCCCAAATCTAATTGGGGATCCGTTCACACTATCTTACTTTTTGGATGACAACCATCTGACCTAAACAAAATGGTTCAAATGGATGAATAGTGAGTTGAAAGTTGAAACTGATTTTAGGAATAACTACAATCTCAAAGATAGGCTTATAACTCATATCTTACATCGCCCGTCTCTTGACTAGATTTTCCTCGGATGAAAGCATAAGCAATGTGATTCTCCTTTGAAGTAACTTCATCTCTTTGCCTGTTTGCTAATGTTCCTTAGTCTAGTTACTCATTGTTGGTTAATTGTTTAGAATATGTAGTTGGAACAAAACTCTTAAGTGCCAATGGGATACGACCTTGCTTGTGATAGACACCAATTTCTAGGGTTCTATCGAGTGGATTGGGAAATTGGGAACTGATGGAGATCTAGGGTTTTAGAAGATAGAATTAGGGATTTGAGATGAGAATTGGGGAAGAACAGAGATAGAATGGCCAGCGGCCTAGATGTAGGAGAAGACGAGATTGGGAGAAGAATATGGTTTAGGGAGAGATACTTTTCTTAATTCTTTCTTGATTGCCTCTTAAACGAATAACCGAGTACACTTATATAGGAAAAAAGTTGAAAACCTAACAATAAACCTAAACTTAACAACCAAGTAATTATTTAACCTAATAATTATCTCTAGCATGGATATGGTAATTATAAGAAAAACCCGTGGGGAATAGGTTTCTATCATCCCCTCCCCCTTGAGACCAACCTTGCCCTCAAGGTTGATTGACTTGGCCCACTTCTCCACGTCATCCGTGCAAACCGCGCCTTGAATCCTCCATCTTTTGCGCTTCCTTTTCTTCCAATCATGCTCATGTACTCGCACAAGACTTCTAGCACAAGCGTTTGTAGCCTCCATAGATTCTTGTCCACCCTCATGACTCATCCCAAGATGCCCATGGTCACCCAAGCCTTGCATTTGCCCTTTCAAATTCCACATAATAAGAACGTGAAAGTTCCACAACAATCCCGCCCTTTTGCACGGAATGATACTTCCACATTTCCTCACGGCAATATACGTTGTAGGCTAGTATCAAATTATTGGGAATCTCTTGGACCCATGCTTTCATTTCTTGTGGTTCTTCACAACCACCCAAAACACAACCAAGCATCCATTCCTTCTCCTGCACAACTTGCCCTCCTAACCCTTCCATAAGCCTTGCCTTGCTCAACACTAATAATGGATCAATATCCACCACCCAACCGGGCAACAATCTCCACCCGCATGCTTCAACACTTGGCTCCGAACAACCCCATTTCAAACCAAACTTTGGCCCACTTAATTCGCCCAACACAAGCTGTTGTTGTGGGTCTCCACGAGTTCGGGGAAAGAGGAAGTCGAGGGTTTGCGAGACCCAAGACGTCGACGCCATCTATTTTTCCTCCCCGCTGCAGAACTTCTTTCGTTGGCGGCGGCTGCCCACCTGATGCCCAGACGATACACCAGTCTTCGATGCCCCACTTTCTGGGTCCGCCTCCCGGGCCTTCGTCGTCGTTGCTCCTACTCGCCAAGCCGACGAGGATTCCCCACGATTTGGCTCTGCATCAATCGACGTCACAACGGGGTTTGCCTTCGAATAGCTGCACAACACCATCATCACCAACGGTGCCATCGGTAGCGCTGGCGCCTCTCGCGCTGTTCGCGCCACCTACCAAATACCTCGATTCCCTGTTGCCGCCTCCCCGTTGGTCAGCTCCACGAGCGACTCCCCATTAGTCGTTCCCTCTGTCTTCTTCCTCGTGGCTCCGGTTTTTTGCTCTGCCTCCCTGACTATCGTTGATGGTTTCCCGAATCGCATTGCTCGCGAGTGAACCCAGCAATTAGCACTTGCCTCCCCGTCGGTCGGCCCCAACTTCTCCTCCGGCACCTCAACCGCCGATCTCGAGATCTCCACCAGGTGGGTGGAAGTTTGAGAGACTACTCCCATCTCCGGCTCCGTCCTCGCTGCGAAAGGGGGCGCCAAGAATCGCTGCGCGATCTTTAGCTCTGGCGAGTTCAGCCCACAGCTCGAGCCCATGGTTGAGGATGATCGAACGTTGGGCGGTTTCTTTGTTAGTAGCGTGACTGAATTTATGAAGTCCATTGTGGCATTGGAACTCTCTCCTGATGAGGCCCAAGGCGGGTCTCAAAGGAATCAAAGCTGCGCAGAAGCTATATCAAGCAAGACCCTTGATCTCAAGTAGAGCCGAGCTCAAAAACCAACTCGATTTAAGCGGATTCGAAGTCGAAATTGGATGGATCGAGAGGGAATCCTTACACTTGGAAGGATGCACGATCGAGTAATGAAGCTTTCGATGTGAACGAGTGTGTTTGCTCGTTCAATAAGCCGGCCAACAAACTTTGATCGCAACCAAAGCCAACTCAAACTCTCAAACTCTCAAGCTTGGGAATCAGAATAAAAACTTAATTCAACTCAACTCTGCCTCTTACATTAACTTCGTATGTCCTTAAATAGACTTACAACAACCTTAAACGCAAAGGAAACCCAAATTAACAAGGAAAAACAAAACAGTCCAAATCCTAAAGTAATACAGAAACTTAAAACGCAAGTAGAACATAGTTTTGATGCCATCTTCAGAGCCCTCGTTGGCAGCCTTCCAGTTGTCGAATTGATCAACCAACCCCTTGATTTTGTACTAGAAAATACAGGCTTTCATGTGGTATGAGCCTTGAGATGCGATTCCCAACAGGCTGTCGTGGAACAAACCCCAAAGTGACCTGCTTGCAACTGCTCCATGCCTTGGTCAATTCATGGCAGCTTGCCTGTATTGCCATAGGGTTTTGACGAGCTTTGAAACAACACTTCCCAGCCTCGCCTTGAAGTCCCAGCCATGCCCATTTGTTCAGCAACTCACAAGGTTCAAAACAAACCCCTCCTCTCCAATTTCCATCAAGCCATATGCAAGAAACAGGCCGGCAAAGTACGCTACATGAAACAACTTCAATACTTAACCAAAATTCCAGATTCTGCATTCCACTTGAACTTGCCTTTTCGTCGATCCATGGAAGCTTCAATGGTACGTAAATTGGGATCATTTCATCTCCCGGGCCTTCTTCCTTGTTTTTCGCATCTGAACTTGCCTAGTTTGTAGCAGTGGCTGCAGACGGGTGACGGAGTCGTTGCTTTTTTCTTCGACAACGAGCAGCCCATTAGGCGGTGGGGAGACCAGCCCGATCTCATCCCTGTATTCTCAACAGCCGGAGTTGCAATTGAGGTCGCGGATGCTAGAGACCTTGGTGACTTTGTCATGGCTGGAAGAACAGGGGTAAACTCCTGAATTGGGATGGCAGCAGGTAGTGGTGGTAGCAGTACTTGTGCAGGCGATGATGCTTCATCCTTCTGCACCGGCGACTGTAGTGGATCAGCAGCGCCATCGACCTCGGTGCTCTCCACCGATGCTTCTCTGTCGTCCACGGTCGCTGCTGTTGCAGCAGCCGCCACACCGTTTGCGATCGTTGCCTTGCCATCCGCCGCCGCGCCTTCAGCCGTCGCCACACCCTGCGCCCTCTCCTGCTCTTCCCGTTTGTAGCGGTCAAGAGACTGCTGCAACAGCTGGCTGAGATGAATTCATTATGGATCAAAGAACTTTGATGAGCTCATTCTGGATCTGATACTAGATCATAGAAACCTATTTCTAGGAATCTATCGAGTGGATTGGGAAATTAGGAACTTGATGGAGATCTAGGGTTTTAGAATATAGAATTAGGGATTTGCGATGAGAATTGGGGAAGAACAGAGATAGAATGGTCGGCGGCCTAGATGTAGGAGAAGAGGAGATTGGGAGAATAATAAGGTTTAGGGAGAGATACTTTCTTAATTATTTCTTGATTGCCTCTTAAACGAATAATTGAGTACACTTATATAGAAAAAGACCTGAAAACCTAACAATAAACCTAAACTTAACAACCAAGTAATTATTTAACCTAATAATTATCTCTAGCATGGATATGATAATTATAAGGCCTAATACCAGAAAATGCCCATAGTTTGGAGTTTGGGTAATTTGTTTCCCTATGTTTATCCCGCATCACTTTTGTCCCCAAGATTATAGTCTCTATGTCAGTTTTTTCCCACCCATTTCGTTGACTGTTAGACTTGACGGTCAACCTAACGGCGGTCAACCTATTGTTGACTTTGTACCACACGTGTCTGCCATGTCACCAACACGTCAGAATTATTTTTTTCCACGAACAAATTTTCACCCACCACTTATATTCCTTCTATCTTTATCTTCCTCATTTTATCTCTTTCCACGAACAGAGCAGGAAGAGATGCGGCGGTGACCAAGACAAGAGCGGGTTGGGGGAGCACATAGCGGAGACGACGCGATTTGGCGGAATCGGGGGAGCGAAGACGAAGCCGGGGGAAGCGAAGACGACGCTGGGGTTGCAGATCGAAGGCAAGAGCGACGAATCGAAGGGTAGAATGACACGGTGGACTGGGTACCAGATTGGAGGGTTTAATAATCCAAGTTTGTCTCAATGAATGCAAGGAAAAAAGGGAAGATTTTAAGCGAATCGAGTTGTGCTAGTTCTCATGTGCCTCGGTGCGTTCATAACTGTCCAACTGTTGTTTTTTGTCTCTGGAACAGGGAGGAATTTCGGGAGAGAATTTTATCGTTGCCCATTTTGGAAGGAAGAAACGGTGGATTGCAAATACTTTGTGTCGGTGGATCAGTATTGTCCTGGTCGAGAAGAAGATATTGTTCAAGCACTTTCGGCAGAGAACGATGATCTGAAGAAGAAGACTTCTTCACTTAGTATGAGATTGACAGCTGGCGAAGATAAGGGCGAGCAAAGGAAGAAGGCAAAGCATTGCTTTTGCCATGATTTAGCTGAGCTTAAGGAGGAAAATGTTAGGTTATCTCGTGAGCTGAAGGTGGTGGGAACTAAGTTGTCGTTTGTTTCGTATGTGCTTATAGTAGTGGGTTTGACAATGCTCTTTGTATGGTTTCATTGAGTTTTCGTGAGTTTCTATATCTAGTGGTTTGTGAGTTTATGTATGGTTTAAGAGCTAATGTAACTCTACTTTTCAAGTGTCATTGTGGCGTGATTATGAACTAAAAGCAAGGAGCTTGACTATACAGCCAACAAGGATGCTACCAAAATAGAATTGCAGCAAACAGGGATGCTGCCAAAATAGAATTGAAGCAAACAGGGATGCTGTCAAAAGAGAAATGCAGCCAACAAGGGTGTTGTCAAAAGAGAAATGCAATTACTAGTTCTTGACTATCATCCGTCTACTACTACAAGTACTACATTAAGGCAATTACTACTACGTCTACTACTACTTAACATCAGACATCACCAACTACTACATATTCGATGGTTGGGTTGCAGGAGGTTGAGATCCACCAACTTCAGCCTATTCAATAATCATAGGATTCTCTCCACCTCGTCCACCTTGACCTCCTTGTCCACCTCGACCACCTTGAACACCTCGACCACCTTGATCACCTCGGCCACGACCCCCTCTTTCACCTCAACCTCCTCGTCCACCTCCTCGTCCTCTTCCAGAAGCCTACAATAAGAATCAATAAAGAACCCTTGTCAAGAAACTATTATCCATATCAATTTAGTCAATCAATGAAGCAAAAGTCTCACCACAATATCTTGCTGTTGTCTAGGAGGTTGCGGGCATTTTCTCTTGGTGTGCCCTTGCTGGCCACAATTTGTACAGTGGTTGGGAAGATTTTTTTCTAACCAAAACGATACCTCCGGCTCGATGTGGAGCTGCCTCGAGCTCCCTAGACCCTTTCTTCCTCTTCTTTTTTGGACGTCCGGGCATTGCATTGAACTTTGGGGGGTAAACAGGGTACCCAATAGCCTCGGACCAAGCTTGTTGTCCATACTGTTGGTTGAGTCGAGCGCGAGACTCCGGCGTCGATTCGCTCTTCTTCTCCGATCAATTGAGATTCTGCGTAACCCTAAATTCGACCTTGACAATAACAAGTGAGAGAAGTGGAAGAAACAAAAGAAACGAAACGATGAAGAGGGTAAAACGACTTCCCTTCGGAGCTTGCCGAAACGACAACGAATTCAGAACTAAAACTTGAAGTGGGCTAGGCTTAATTTGTTCTCAATCTGTCGATTATAAGTTGGCCCAGATTACTTTCACAAAAACTCTGCGTTTTACAAACCCAATTTCTTTCTTCTCACCCTGTGCAAATTGATCAAGACTTGTTCTGCAAGAAGAACTTGAACTTGCACTAAATCAGAAGCAAATGCAAACTGAAAAGTAAAATGCAGTAGAATGAAAAGCACAAATGAACACAGACACAATATTGTTATGAGGTATCCGGTGTTAGGTGATTAATGAACCCAACACCGACTAATCCACGGTAGGAGACTCTCCTCTTGAGATCTCCTACTTGATCACTACGATTTAGTTTCTTCTTACAAACTTTGGCGAACTCTGAATCAGCTCCCCGCTGATCGACCAAACTACTGATCTCTAGTGATTCAAACTCCCCGTTCAATCACCCTTGTTTTTCCCTACAAATCTCCCCGACTTGCTTTCGCGATTGCACCAAAAGACTATCACTTTTTCTAGCTCTCTCTTTTTGTTTTCAATCGTTCGGAAAAACTTGACTGACCACTCAACTCTCACATAGACTATATACTTCTGTTTGAACTGAGAGCCGTTGAGAATGGATTGGCCTGGTGAAGGTAAGTGTTTGATTCTTTCCCTTTCTGCTTGATCCTGATTTGCTTGATCCTGATTTGCCTGGTTGGCCAACTTTCCTTGTGTGCCTCTCAAGAGATACTGTGATCTGCTGCTTCTTCTCTCAACATTCTCCCCCTAAGCATGGCATTTGCTCCAAAGCTCTGATTCCATGATTACCCTGCACATCTTAGCAAACGGTTGGTGCAGCATGTCCTATACCAAAAATGATATTTACAACGACTGCAATTCACTAGACCAAAGGAGAAGTTCATTTTATTTGAGACCAAGTTGCAGAGAACAAGACACGTTTACTACTACACCGAGACAAAATGAACAACCAACCTATAGAGCTACTCTAACCAGATAAAACCTCTTATGAACTCCCCCTAAACAAGTCACTCCTCCTAAACTGATTTTCCACTCAGAAATCATATTCTGGTGGGGATTCATAGTCAGATATACCCTGTGCTTCTCCCTCCAGAGTGTTTGAAGGCTCAGACTTCTTTGCCATCTTGATCCGAGCATAATGAAATTCCAAACTAGCTAGTTCCTTGCGTTTGACAGCAGAGATTTCTCTGTCAAGTACTGCAGATGCAGCCTCCAAGAGTGCAGGAACTCCCCCTGAGCAAATGGCAGACTTTCTCCTACCAACCTGGGCTTCAACACGAGTAATAATGTGTTGAGCACGCAGATCTTCGCGGACATCACAGACTACCAATTTATCACGGAGTTCAATTCCTACTCGAGACAGTAGGCGAGTGATTTGGGGACCAAAAGGGAGAGGACCAGAGTAATTATCGTCGCCATAGTTGATCATATGAGCAAACATAAGCGTAGAGAAATTGAGTTTGACGCCATCACGAGCATTTTCCATAATCCATGCATCAGCAGGATGGACAAGATCAACAGAAAGACCACTACGAGGTAGGAGAATCCTGGTGATAAAGAAATGGAGCACTTTGAACTGATCTGCTAGACGTCCTGCAGAGAGCATGGAAGGATAGTATTTCCCAATATCATGGGTGAGGGACTCCATAGCCGAGCCAAAGTCAAATATGATGGCTCCAAAGTCATCATTTGTGGCAGCAGACGATCCGACACAAGGAAGGTCAAGAGTCTATGCCAAGAGAGATGTTGTGACCTTGATTTCATGGTTGTACACCACAGTTGTGAAAAAGGAGGGACTCGAACCATGACCACGCTTCAAGCTAGCATAGAACATTCTGACACCTTCAGGACACTGGCTGAACAGTTGGTTCTAAAATAGAGAACCCCAGCCAAGCTTGTGAATGAGATCAGGAATATCGTGATCATACTTTCTTAAGGCAGAAGGTTGAATGGGAAACGATGGATAGAGTGGGCGATTTTGAAAGTGTTTAAGATACCTAAAGTATCGAGAGGGCTTGTAAAACCCTTGGTTGTTGAAGGTAGCAGCAAAATGGAGTTGAGGATTGTTTGGAGCCATGACTGAGTAATATGGGATCAGTTTGAGGGAATTTGAGATGATGATGCGAAGACAGGGAGTTGATGGTGAGTATATATAGAGTATGAACCGGGTAGAAAAAGGAAGGGACCATTGATTAAGGAAGGTGACGATTGGGAAAGACAGATAAGGTAGCCTAAGATGAGGGTGGAATATCCCACTGATTTTATGGGATTTCAGAGATTTCTTCCAACGAGAAGAGACTAAGTTCTCTCCTAATAGAAAGAAATTTATCAGCTCCCAAGGGCTTGGTAAATATATCAGCCCACTGAAAATCAGTCCCAATAAACTCAAGATGTATTTTCCCTTCCTGGACTAGATCTCTAATGAAATGATATCTAACCTCGATATGTTTAGTCCTAGAATGTTGGATCGGGTTTTTTGTCATGTTGATAGCACTCATGTTATCACACATAACTGGCAGAGATTCAAACTCAAGTCCATAGTCCTTGAGTTGATATTTCATCCAAAGGAGTTGTGTGCAGCATAGGCCTGCTGTAACATACTCTGCCTTTGCAGTGAACAGAGCAACAGAGCTCTGTTTCTTGCTAGACCAGGCTATAAGAGAAGAACCAAGAAAATGACAGGCACCTGAGGTGCTTTTCCTGTCCACAGAACATCCAACATAATCTGATTCACTATAGCTTATCAATTCTAGGCTAGAGGTACTTGAATACCAGAGTCCTAGACTAGGGGTTCCAGCAAGATATCGAAAAATTCGCTTGACAGCAGAAAGATGACTTTCCTTAGGGTTACTTTGAAAACAGGCACAAACACATACACTGTACATGATATCAGGTCTGCTTGTTGTTAAGTAAAGCAAGGAGCCAATCATTACCTCTGTACAGTCTATTGTCTATACTCTTCCTTGACTCATCTTTGGTGAGTTTAATCGAGGACCCCATAGGTGTAGAAACAGATTTTAGATTATTGAAGTTGAACCTTTTAAGCATGTTATTGAGGTATTTGGTTTGGCTGATAAAAATCCCATCCTTGGTTTGTTTAATCTGCAGACCCAGAAAGAAGTTTAGTTCTCCCATTAGACTCATTTCAAACCCTCCTTTCATTGTGTCTGCAAAGTCTCTACACATTTGCTCACAGGATGATCCGAAGATGATATCATCTACATACACTTGCACAAGCAAGGTATCCTTACCCTTATTCTTAATGAACAGTGTTTTATCAACCTGCCCCCTATGGAATCCATCATCAATTAGAAACTGACTTAACTTATCATACCAAGCTCGAGGAGCTTGTTTAAGTCCATACAACGCCTTATTCAATTTATACACATAATCTGGGTATTCAGGACTTTCAAAACCAGGGGGTTGCTCTACATATACCTCTTCTTTTAAATCTCCATTCAAAAAAGCACTTTTCACATCCATTTGATATAATTTAAATCCCTTTGAGGCAGCATAAGCACACAACAATCTTATTGCTTCTAATCTAGCTACTGGTGCAAATGTTCCATCAAAATCTATACCCTCTTCTTGATTGTACCCCTGAGCAACCAGCCTAGCTTTATTTCTTATGATAATCCCAATTTCATCAGATTTATTTCTATAGACCCATTTTGTTCCAATTATAGTTCTGTTTTTAGTTCTTGGGACCAAATCCCATACTTTTGTTCGTTCAAACTGATGCATCTCTTCATGCATAGCAGCGTTCCAGTATTCATCCTCTAATGCTTCTTCAATAGTCCTAGGTTCAATTAAAGAAATGAAGGCAGTATGTTCAGGATAAGATTTGGATCGAGTGACTATACCTTGATTTAACTCCCCTATCACAAGAGAGGGTGGGTGACGTTTCTGAATGTGCGGAGGAGCCTCTGGTTGATTTAACTTCTCACCTGCTTCTTCCTGAACAGATTCCGAATTGATTGATGTTGTCTCAGCTCCCTTTGATTGACTCAGACTTAATCCAAAGTCATCATCATCTTCCAACACCTCTGCACACTTACTTGCAGATTCATCAAATACCACATTAATGGACTCCTCCACTTTGAGGGTCCTTTTATTGTAAATTCTGTATGCCTTACTGTTTATGGTGTAGCCAAGAAAAATTGCCTCATCAGATTTAGCATCGAATTTCCCTAACTGATCCTTAGTGTTTAAAATGAAACACTTGCAACCAAATGGATGAAAATATCCTAAGTTTGGCTTCCTGTTTTTCCACAGCTCATAGGGTGTCTTATATAGTTTAGATCTGATTAAGGCCCTGTTGATTATGTAGCAAGCTGTATTAATGGCTTCACCCCAGAATTGTTTAGGTACTCCATAGTCATTAAGCATAGTTCTTCCAATTTCAATTAAAGTTCTGTTTTTTCTTTCAACTACACCATTTTGTTGAGGTGTTCTAGGGGCAGAGAAGTTGTGAGAAATTCCTTTCCCATTACAAAACAATTCAAATTGTTCAGACACAAATTCTCCACCATGATCACTTCTAATGCTAGCTATGCAGGTCTGTCTTTCGTTTTCTACTCGAGCAACAAAATGCTTAAATTCTGTCAGGGCTTCATCTTTACTTGCTAAGAACAGCACCCAAGTGTATCTAGTAAAGTCATCAACAATAACAAATGCATAGTATTTTCCACCTAGACTTTTTATATTACTAGGTTCAAAAAGATCAAGATAAAGCAGTTCTAGGGGTCTGTTTATGGAGATGACTGTCTTGGTTTTAAAAGAAGTTCGAGCATGCTTGCCCTTTACACAAGCATCACAGAAAAATTCCTTTTTGCTATGAATTTTTGGAATTCCTCTAACCAGGTCTAGATTTACCAGTTTTGATAGAGTACTGGCACTCACATGCTCTAGCCTACGATGCCATTCAACCTTATCATTTTTATCAACAGTGACCAAACATGTTTCATTAAAAGCAGATTTGTCATTTAGATCAATTGTAAACAGTTTTCCTTTCCGTTTTCCAGTAAACAATATTTTTCCACTTGATATTTCTTTGACATAACACTTGTCTGGTTCAAAAATTACCCTATTTATGTTTCCACACATCTGACTTATCGAAATCAAGTTGTATTTGAGATCTTTAACTAACATGACATTATTGATTGATGGTATAGTTCCTACTTGCCCTTTTCCTAAGATTTCAGTACTAAAGTTGTCACCAAAGAAGACTTTACCTTTCTTTCCTACAACCAATTTTGAGAAAAGCTTTTTATCCCCAGTCATATGGTGTGAGCATCCACTATCAAGTATCCAAACACTGTCTGCCATGCTCACTTGGAGACAGGTCTGCAAAACAACGGATTTCATTTAATCTTAGGTACCCAAATTAATTTGGTTACCCTTCCTATCTGAAATTCTTTTGAACATGTTTTACTTGAATGACCAAACTCATGACAGTTGAAGCAGTTGATATTGTTTACTCGATTTTCCTTTGCTAGTCGTTTTCTGCATTCAGCAATATGATGACCAGTCTTATGACAGTAGAAGCACTCAGATTTCTGGCTTTCCACGGTGTTTTATGACTCTTCTTTTCCCTGTTTTCTAAGAGATTTCTTGCCTTTTCAGCCTTTAAGTTCTCAATTTCAGCTTCAGTTGTAGTAACCATCTGTCTTAATCTATCATTTTCAGTAGTTACGGACAAGAGTTTGTTTTCTACTTCTTCCTTTTCAGCTTTTAGCAATAAGACATCTTCCAGTAGTTTTTCATACCTTGATTTTATTAAAACATGCTTTTGTTTTACTTTTATGAACTCGTTTTGAATGTCCATTATTGTTTCATCTAACTGATCGCTTTCACTATATGAGTCAGAGTAGTAGGATTTCAGATTTACCTCATTTTCTTCGATGTCACTCTCTTCAATTGCCATATAGGCCTCCTGCTTAGAGTCATCTTCATCTTCATCTTCCTCACTGCAGCTCCAGGTTGCAGCGAATGCCCGTTCTTTCTTTATTAATGGACACTCTGCCTTGACATGTCCAGACTTCCCGCACTTGAAACATCCAGACTGAGTTGGCATTCTTTCTGAGGTTTATCCATCTCTTCTCTTCCTAGCACGCAATACATCAGATTTGTGGCCTTCGAATTCATCTGAAAATTCTTCTTGTCCGTCTCGGCCCACTTTCCACGAGCTTCTTTTACCTCAAGAGGTCCATCCATCACTATATCCCACAGATCGAGATCTGTCGAGCAGATGAACAATTCCATTCGATTTCTCCAATATCCATAGTGAACCCCTTCGAACCTCGATGGTCGAGTTTGAGAGAATCTGTCCGCCATGAAAATTCCGCTCGCCGAATTCGAACCCATCTTCTCCGCAGGGAGTTAAGCCTTTGCTGCTGGAGCCGGGCTCTGATACCACTTGTTGGTTGAGTCGAGCGGGAGACTCCGGCGTCGATTCGCTCTTCTTCTCCGATCAATTGAGATTCTGCGTAACCCTAAATTCGACCTTGACAAGAACAAGTAAAAGAAGTGGAAGAAACAAAAGAAACGAAACGATGAAGATGGTAAAACGACTTCCCTTCGGAGCTTGCCGAAACGACAACGAATTCATAACTAAAACTTGAAGTGGGCTGGGCTTAATTTGTTCTCAATCTGTCTATTATAAGTTGGCCCAGATTACTTTCACAAAAACTCTGCGTTTTACAAACCCAGTTTCTTTCTTCTCACCCTGTGCAAATCGATCAAGACTTGTTCTGCAAGAAGAACTTGAACTTGCACTAAATCAGAAGCAAATGCAAACTGAAAAGTAAAATGCAGTAAAATGAAAAGCACAAATGAACACAGACACAATATTTTTACGTGGTATCCGGTGTTAGGTGATTAATGAACCCAACACCAACTAATCCACGGTAGGAGACTCTCCTCTTGAGATCTCCTACTTGATCACTACGATTTAGTTTCTTCTTGCAAACTTTGGCGAACTCTGAATCAGCTCCCCGCTGATCGACCAAACTACTGATCTCTAGTGATTCAAACTCCCCGTTCAATCACCCTTGTTTTTCCCTACAAATCTCCCCGACTTGCTTTCACGATTGCACCAAAAGATTATCACTTTTTCTAGCTCTCTCTTTTTGTTTTCAATCGTTCGGAAAAACTTGACTGACCACTCAACTCTCACATAGACTATATACTTCTGTTTGAACTGAGAGCCATTGAGAATGGATTGGCCTGGTGAAGGTAAGTGTTTGATTCTTTCCCTTTCTGCTTGATCCTGATTTGCTTGATCCTGATTTGCCTGGTTGGCCAACTTTCCTTGTGTGCCTCTCAAGAGATACTGTGATCTGCTGCTTCTTCTCTCAACATTCTCCCCCTAAGCATGGCATTTGCTCCAAAGCGCTGATTCCATGATTACCCTGGACATCTTAGCAAACGGTTGGTGCAGCCTGTCCTATACCAAAAAGTGATATTTACAACGACTGTAATTCACTAGACCAAAGGAGAAGTTCATTTTATTTGAGACCAAGTTGCAGAGAACAAGACACGTTTACTACTACACCGAGACAAACTGAACAACCAACCTATAGAGCTACTCTAACCAGATAAAACCTCTTATGAACTCCCCCTAAATGAGTCACTCCTCCTAAACGTATTTTCCACTCAGAAATCATATTCTGGTGGGGATTCATAGTCAGATATACCCTCTGTTTCTCCCTCCAGAGTGTTTGAAGGCTCAGACTTCTTTGCCATCTTGATCCGAGCATAATGAAATTCCAAACTGGCTAGTTCCTTGCGTTTGACAGCAGAGATTTCTCTGTCAAGTACTGCAGATGCAGCCTCCAAGAGTGCAGGAACTAATTGCTTGGAATCATTAGCAGATTCTCCCCCATGAGCAAATGGCAGGCTTTCTCCTACCAACCTGGGCGTCAACACGAGTAAGAATGTGTTGAGCGCGCAAATCTTCGTGGACATCACAGACTACCAATTTATCACAGAGTTCAATTCCTACTCGAGACAGTAGGCGTGTGATTTGGGGACCAAAAGAGAGAGGACTAGAGTAATTCTCATCGCCATAGTTGATCATATGAGCAAACATAAGCGTAGAGAAATTGAGTTTGACGCCATTACGAGCATTTGCCATAATCTATGCATCAGCAGGATGGACAAGATCAACAGAAAGACCACTACGAGGTAGGAGAATCCTGGTGATAAAGAAATGGAGCACTTTGAATTGATCTGCCAGACGTCCTGCAGAGAGCATGGAAGGATAGTATTTCCCATTATCATGGGCGAGGGACTCCATAGTCGAGCCAAAGTCAAATCCGATGGCTGCAAAGTCATCATTTGTGGCAGGAGACGATCCGACAGAAGGAAGGTCAAGAGTCTCTGCCAAGAGAGATGTTGTGACCTTGATTTCATGGTTGTACACCACAGTTGTGAAAAAGGAGGGACTCGACCCAGGACCACGCTTCAAGCTAGCATAGAACATTCTGACACCTTCAGGAAACTGACTGAACCGTTGGTTCTCAAATAGAGAACCCCAGCCAAGCTTGTGAATGAGATCAGGAATATCCAGATCATACTTCCACCACAGCCCAAGCTATAGGGTACATTCTATTGTCCCATCCTTTGCCACGGCACTAAGCAACATAACCTTGACTTTGCCTTTTAGAAAGCATCCATCTAGGGCAAACATAGGCCTGCACCCCTTTAAAAACCCATCCTAAGGCTTGAAAACCCGATGAACAGCCTCTTGAAAAGAACCCTACCTGGAATATTGGAAGGGTCGACCTCTAAAACAAATCTACCAGTAGGATCAGCCCTTTGTAGCTCCGCTATGTATGACTGGATCTTGTTATACTCCTCGACTAAGCTGCCTCCCAGCAACTCTTTGGCATACATATGTGCTCGATAGACCTGCATATGGGAAACATCCAGAAAGTGGACTTCTTTGAGCTCCATTACCATTTGCTTCACATCCCAATTGGGGTTGACCCTAAATCGATGCAAGAACTTTTTAGCAATCCATCTGGCATTTGCACAAGTAAGTCGGACAGATCGTGGACAACTATGAGGATTACCCACATTCTTCACCATAAATAACTCATTCACACCATGTCAGCTGGCATAAACATACCACCCACAAGATTGTCTACAAACAACCCATTTCCTCTTACTGCAGCTCTTACTCCACTTGATGCCAGCCCCCATTGCTATGCAATGGTCATTAACTGCTTCTTGAAACTGTTGGGGACAGGGGCAGATACATGGAGGTTTAGGGGTGTCCCGGGACCCTCCTAATTTGGAAATATGATTATCCAACCTTCGATAGTAGTTTGTGTATGGGTAAAAAAACAAATTAGTGATAGTGGAACACCCTTAAAATATGGAAAATGATTATTCAACCTCCTATAGTATTCTGCATATGGGTATAAATAATATTTAAGTGATAGGGTCTATGTGATTTGAACTTGGGAACACTGCTACTATTAGTAAATATAGTTTCAATTAGACTACAACTCATTTGTAGTTATGTTTTAGATCAAAATATAATAGTAAAAGGCTATTCTTATCCCCAATTATTGTCAAAACCTAACGATTAAACCCAATTACGGGTTACCCTTGTCTAGTAGGATATGTCACGAGAGATTTGTTGAGTAGTGTATAATGCGAATGTATTTTACCATTCTTTCATAATACGAAACATGTTTGAACTTTTGTTATAACTTTTACTAGTTGAATATTTTCATATTTAATAATTATTTGATTTTTTTTTTTTTGAAGAGGACACCCCTATTTAAAATTTTTGAATCCGCCACTGGTTAGGGAGACTGAAATATCATCCCAACCTTGAGTTTCAAACTGGCAGCCTCACAATCAAGGTCGTAAACCGGTACATCTCCACCATCCACACCATCTCCCCCCATGATACTGCGACTCCACTACATCAACATGTTCTTCATCAGGAGGTTGTGCATTGGCGACACCATCTGCTTCCAAGTTAACACCATGCTCAAGAGTCGGGATGTCTTCAAACTGGTTTAATTGCTCAACCTCTTCTCCCGAATCACATTCATTAGTACGAACTTTCCTCCTCCGTTGATGGATACCTAGATTCTCCATGGCTTCAACAAATTCATCATCTGATGTTCGACAATCATCATCCATCAAATGAATAATATCGCGATTCACAGAACCCACACCATCATATTCTTGTTTGTCCCCAGAACCCCAAGCAGCAGCCTCATTGTCGTCCACAACAGCCAAATCTTCAGTGCATTCGAAGTATATTACAATCTGCCCATTCACACATGCTGACAGCAATCCATCCATGACATCATTGTCCGACTTTACCTCATACAGACCCGCTTCAATGGTTGATAAAGGTGACATATACCACATTCTCTCGACTCTTGCATAGTGGAAGTAATGAGTGGCCACCGATTCGAGCTCAAAACATGATATGTAGTCCCTATCAATGCTAAATTCTTCACACTTCCCATTGAGGTAACGAGGGCTGCCCTCGGAATAATCCATGTGACCACCATGATGGATGATAAGGTCGATAGTGTCATTTGCCATCCTGCCCGGTTCCAACAATTTGAGAATAGATGGTTAGATAATGAATTTTTCTAATCAAAGCATGCATTCTCAAGAGTTGTTTAATCACAAGTTGGAGATATACTATAAACAAACAACCAAATGCTTCCAAAATTACGATAAAGCAATTGAAAGAATGACGTACATACCCAATTTCGCTCGGGTATAAGGGCAGGTTCATCTTCACAACCCAATTTGTGGTCCCTCTTCAACAACCTCTTCAGTACAAACTTCAAGTACCACAGCCACCTTCCCCATTCTCCATTTCACTCGGTTTCCCTACCAATTTTTGCGAAAACAGTTAACCCTAGAAATTGGGGGAATTTAAGAGAGAGTGTCGAAGGCTGAGAGAATTGGGGGAATAGCAACACCGAGACCCAATCGATTGCTACTTCGCAATGAAAGTGTCGTCAACTCCTCAATCATTGTCGTCGGTGTTGTTGTAGGAAGGTCGTCGGCGTCAGGAGTCGTCGTCGTTGATGTCGAAGGTGGGTTGGTTCGACAGTCCGCCGTTGATGAATAAAGCCTGCGACGTTGTCCTGACGACGACCGGCCGCCGAATCCACGCTCCTCTGTTCCTAGATCGATGATGAATCTTCGTTGTTCGTTGGGGTTGGGAGCTTTTCGAAGGAGAAGGGAAGGAGAGATTTGGGATCGAGTAAAGTCGGACCCCATTTTACTTCGTTTTTACTTTACTTTGCTTTGAAAAAAAAAATTCGATAATTATAATTTACAAAAAAATCACGTTTTCTGTAATGACATGGAAACTAATCATTTTTTTGGTTAACAAGTCATCGGTCAACAGTTGACCGTCAAAAAATAACGGAACTGGTTAACGGACTATAATCTTAGGGACAAAAGTGACGCAGGATAAACATAGGGGTACTAATGGGTGTGGCCCAAAGTTCACGACCTGTGAAAAGTCAGCAGCAACAACCCGTTTCAGCCAAGGCCCATGTAGAGAACAGGAGTAGTTCGGTTCTTGTAGGAAGTATTGAAATTCCATGTTGTGTAAGGAATCCTCCTTGTTCCTCTAATACCCTAGTTGCACGTACAAAAGGGTATATATATGATGTACAGGCCGCTAGCCACAATACACAATCATAATAAGAGCAAACCCGAAGAGTTAAGCTCTACCGTGGACTAGTCCCGATACTCGGGGATACCACGTAAAATCCTGCGTCGTTCTTATTCCGCAAATCGTTCTTACAATTCTATTATGGTATTAGAGCATTGATCCAATACTTGATTCTTCAACATGTCTGGGAAGGATTCGACTTTCTCAGGAACGCCCGAATCCAAGCTTTCTGGCGGCAGTGGCGAAAGTGGCCATGGCAATAGGGACCTCGACGTCGCAAACCCTCTTTTCATACATCAGAGTGATAGCACGGGTCATCTCCAAGTGAGCAGCCTATTAACAGCATCGAACTACAGTGAATGGGTCCTTGAGATGACGGATGCCCTCGTCACAAAGAATAAGATTGGTTTTGTGGATGGCTCTATTTCCCGGCCAGAAGAAGGATCAGAGCAATCTCTTGCTTGGATGCGGTGTGACGCACTCATCAAGGGCTGGCTACTTACCGCCATGGATGCAGAATTACGTAGCAGTGTGATGCATGCTAAAACGGCTCAGGAAATCTGGGAAGATCTGCGTGATCGTTTTAGCAAAGGTAATTTAACGCGAGCTTACAAACTACGTCGTAATATTTTCTTGCTGCAAAAAGAAAAACAATTGGTCTCTAGCTTCTATACCAAGCTGCACAAAATCTAGGAGGAGACACAGTCTATTCTTCCGCCGCCGATATGCTCGTGTGGCCGCAGGAGTCAAGACCAAAATGAAAGTTTGCGATTGCTGGAATTTCTTTTCGGACTGGACGAATCATATGCTACCGTTCGTAGTCAGATTTTATCCATGGCGGTTACTCCCTCACTCCCTGAAGCTTTTCGTATTGTTTTCAATGATGAGCAACAAAGGTCTATTACTCAAAACCGGAAACCCATTCAAGAGGTTGCTGCCTTCGCCGCACATGAGGATGGTGGGAAACAAAGTGTTGAAGCATGCGGTATTCAAGGGCGCGCATCAGGTACAGGGAACGGGTTACTTGCACACACTTTCACAAGTCCGGCCACCTCAAGGAGAGCTGTTATGAGCTTATTGGTTGGCCCACTCGAGACAAATAGGGGAGAAATCTGATCGTCGCCGCAATCGCAACGCTCGCGATCAAGGGAGGGGTCGTGGCCAGAGTCGTGAGCCCCGAGCCTCGCAAGTCGAGTCTGAACCTAGTGTCGCATCTGGTTTTACCCCTCAACAATTAAGTCAACTGAAGCAATTCTTGGGAAGTTTGGCTCAAGGAGCTGTCGACCCTTCCAGCCACATGGCGGGTACGTTTTCCTTATCAAATGAACCCGAATGGCTTATTGATTCGGGATTCAACGAACACATAGTCATGGATGATTCTCTTTTATTTTCGTACAATGATGGCATGCCATGTCAGCCCGTTCGGATACCAAACGGGGCCAGTATTCCTGTGAAGCGCATAGGGTCTGTTCGACTAAGTAATGATCGGATTCTTAGTCGTGTTGTGCGCGTTCCAGAGTTCAACTGTAATTTGCTCTCTGTTAGTCGGCTATGTCAATAATATCATGTGGCATTGATTTTTCTTGGTGATTTATGCGTTATACAGGACTTACACTCCAAGAACGTGATTGGGAAGGGGGAGATTCGTGATGGTTTATATTTTCTAAAGTTGTTTGGCTGCAGAGCGCGCGCCAATGTTGTGGTTAATGGCCGGGAAGCACTTGGGCATGCACGGTTGGGTCACCCTTCGACAGGAGTATTGGAGAAACTCAGTTCGAGTCTTTCATTATCAGTTGAGTCACAAGTTGATT